CTCTTAAATCAAATTTTTATATATTAAATCAAAGAATAATTTTTCAAATTATAGAAACCATTTTTAATTTAAGATAGAATACTTAAAAATTATAAAAAAATCTTCAATTTTATTATAATATCTTAACTATTTTATTTATACAAAAATAATATTTCTCTTAACAACTTACTACTTTATTAATCAACAACTTACAAACAAATTAATTAACTAAATAATATTTATAACTTTATTTTATTTTCAGATAACCTAACAATATTAAGTCTTAAAAACAATAAAATTCTTTTTTTTTAAATAACTACTTATAGCTAATAATTATAATCTACTTTCTTAAAAAAACATCTATCTTAAAACTCTTAAATCTTCTTGAAGTTCTATTTCAAACTGGTTCAAAATACTTTCAAATAAAATATCTTTTTTTTTTATTATATATATATAATCTAATCTTTAACTTCTACTAATTAATTTATTTTTAAATATACTTAATCTAATTACACCTCAATATAATAATTTTAAAAATACATAAACACTTTATATTTTATTTAAAAATTAGCATAATGATAAAATAATAAATACATCTAATTTTATAATAACTTTTTAAAAACATTAAATTATTACAACAATGTTTAATACAATTTATATTTCTCCTACACCTACAACTTTTTAAACAAATTACAAACAAACTATTAATCTTAAATACAAAACACAAAAAGAAAACATTACCTTGAACTAAATATCAATATTTATAAATTTCAAGTACTTTAAAATATTTGTATAGAATTATATAAACCTGTTTTACAAATCCTTCTAATACTTTTATTATCCTTTTTAGAAATTCTTTTAATTTAAAATATAATATCTAATTTTATATATCAAAACCAATTTATAAACCTATACAAAAAATATTACTTCTTGATTCAAACAATCTATATTTTTATACTAATGCTTTAATAATAAACTTACAAATATACAATATCTTTACTAGTATTATTTGAAAATATTATACAAATCAAATTTAATATTTTTATAATTTATACATCAAACCCTACAAAAGCAGAATTAGTAGCTTTTATTCTTTTTTTTCTTATCTTACCTTTTAATTACCAAATTTATATTTATTTTAACAGTTTATCTACTATTTAAACTTTTATATATTCAATATTTTATAATTACAATTTATAAACTAAATAAAATAATTAAGATATTATTTATATTCTAAACTTTATAATTAAATATAAGAATATTAACTATACTATATACAAGATTAAATCTTATTCAAATAATACTTTATATAATATAGTTAATGTCTTAGCTAAACACAAAGCTAACAAAACTGAGTTTAAACTTAATCTTGATTATTTTTATTTTTCTATTTTTTTTTATTTGAAATCAAATCTCAATTATATACAAATTACATAAATTTTGTAAAAACTTATCTTTAATCCAAATATTTAACAAACTTCTTTAATTCAAAATATTAAAAAATCTTCTTATTATAAATATCTAACTACTAACTAAGATTATTAACTTTCAAAACTCTAATCTTAATCTATATTTCTTTAGATCAAAATATTGTTTAACAACTTACCAACAATATCTAATTTAAATACTTATTATTTTACTTTTTATTTGACTCCAAATTAATCATATTATAATTAATATAAAAATACTGAACATTTATTACAATATTTACTTTATTTATACAACTTATATAATATTCTTATTAATAAAATAACCAATATTCTAAACTTATTAAACTTATTAAAAATATCATCATATATAATAATACAAAATTTTAATTTATATAACCTTTTTTCAAACTACAATATAAACAATATATTACTATTACTTATTTAGTATATATTACTCTAGATCATTATAAGCAACTATAACTTATTCTAAAAAAATCAACTAACAATTTTCTTATTTTCTTATTAAACTTATTACTTAACTGATTCAATTCTACTATCTAGCAAATTTAAAATATTAAACAATATGAATAAAAGTCAACATAAGGAATTACTGCCTTAACAAAAAGAAAAAATAATATTTATTTTATTATTTCAAAACTATCTAACTCTAATAATACTAATTTCATTTTTAATACCATTGTAGAATCTTTTATTTTTAAAATTCTTTCTTAAAATTTTACTATATATACTTGCTTTTATTCATTTAACAATCTTAAAGGTTTTTTTACCTTTTTTGCAGTTAAATATTAACAATAGTTGATTTAACTAATAACAGAAAATAAGAGAATAATATTACACTAGATGTAGTTAAACATATATAGCAACAATAGTGTAGTTTAGAAATAATTTTTTAGTTATACATTATATTAATCAGTATATTTATATATTATTATTATTTTATTTAATATTATATTAATAAAAAAAATTTTTTTTAATAATAAAAAGTTTAATTTTTTATATTTAAATTTAATAGATTAGAAGTATTTTAAATTTTTTTTATATTTATATATTGTTATATACTTTGAATATTTTGTTTTTGTTATGATTTTTAGTTTTATTTATATATTATTTTATAATTTAGGTAACTTGTTAATAAACTTAAATGCTTGAGATAATGTACTATTTTGCAGATTAAATTCTGTTCTTCTTAAGGTTTAATAAATAATAAAACTTCAATTGAAAGAACAACTTGTCATTTATATACATTAATATGTTTTAATAAAACTAAAAATAAAAATTATTCAAGGGTGTGACAACCTAGTGAAGTGGATAGATTGTCAATCCTTAAGTGGCAGATCTAGAGTTCAAATCCCAATGATAGTAAAAATTTGCAATTCTTTTTGTGTTATGGTTAACTGTCTTCTGTGATTGGTTGGGATAAGACACCTGTAACCTATGACATACCAGCATGACTAGAAGGTCTAGGCATTTATGCAACATTGTACAAAGGAACACAAACTGGTACTGGGCGGTGTGAACTCAAGATAAATTCTTAGGCTGTGTAAATCATGAAAACCAGGTAGGAAGATGAAAGCTTACTTGGAAGACCTGAGTAAAGAGATAACCTAAACTTTCAACAGTACTACTGTAAAGACTAGACTTATGAAATAGAGCTAGAATTTGTAAAACTGAGCAAAGAGCTGGCCTTTGAAGAGGGGCTGAATAGAACCAACCAGGCCATCAGAATTTTCAGATTCTGGAGAAAAAGGTTACATACTAGCAAATATGTAAACCAGAAGTGTATGGTTATAACTTGTCTTTCTGGGCTATCTGGTTTGGAAGCTTGGTAGAACTTGAATTGAATACCAAAGTAGTAAGGATATGTTGTGAAGTCAGTACTGGGGTTAGGGTGAACTCTACAAGGGCATAGCAGTTAAATGGTATGCCCTGACCACCAGTGTTGGTCTCAGCCATAGGATACCAGGTCAGCTGTAAGAATAGGATACAAAAGATTCTGGAAGGTTTAGTACAAGATCAAAGGTTCCTCATGTGAGTAAACTGCTTTAAAGACTTAGTGACTATGATATATTTGCACTAGTATCGACCAGGGCATCTTGGTAGGTATAGGTAGATGGGTGAATACAGGAACAGAGTAGTTAAATAGGAAACTTACAAGCAGGTTCCAGGTATGGCAGCTAGTATAGAACCTTCAGGCAGACTATTTAAATTAGACAATGACTAAAGTTGTATAAGTGGCTAGTTGTACACTTTTTCCATAATTGCCCCCTATGGTTGTAATGCAACTATTAGCTAAATGTACTATTAATAAAATCCTGGGTCACAAGTACTCATCTTAATATTTAAAAAAAAAAAAATTATTCTAATATATATATAATAATGTTTTTAGAACTTTAATATATAATATATTATAATTCAAATAATAATCTAGTTCAAATTGTTAATTAAAACAATCTACTGTAAATATCAATATGCTAAAAGTTCAGCTTTAGTATTTAGATCTAAATTGTTCAAATTAATATTTGAAACAAATTATTAACTAAAATACAATATATTAAAATATCTTAATAATTATCTAGAACATTATAAAAGACTTCTAATTTCTCTTATTAGTTATATTTTTAATACATTTCCTAATTAAATATCAAAATACTTTTGAATTTTCTATCTATCATTTACGTAATTTGATATTTTATAGTTTAATCTATTTAGAAAGACAGTATATAATTATAATCTATTATATTATTGAAAATTTCTAAAAATATCATAGAGTATGATACCCGGTATAAGAAAAATATGTAACATATTAGGGTAGGGTAAGTTAAGTTAGAGTTAAAGGTGTATTTATAAGTAAAATTAGGCGCTGAACATTTTTACTTAAAGCACTTACACCAGTTTTCTTAATAAAATTTTAAGATATTAATGATTTTTTGCTTTTTTTCTTATATCCTGGTATGTACCAACCAGGTACAAATAGAAATTCTCTATATTATTTATTATACTTTTTATTTAATTATATTAATAGTTATTAAATTTGTATAAATATTTAGCTCTGGGCAAACAATGCTATTCATTTACCTAGTTTTAATTATGAATCTCATCAAATTTCAAAAATTTTGTAAATACTCTATGAATGATTTTTCACCGATTTAAAACACGTGATGATTATGATCTGGATGTATTAAATTTAAACCTCAAAATATTCAAGTTATAATTATCGCATGATTTAAATCAGTGAAAAATGATTTTTTACCATCCTTAGAAAAAACCTGTCATCGGGCTTTCAATTATATCTTGTACTTCAGAACGCCGTCTTTGGAAAATCTATCATCTATCTATCATCAGGTTTAATCAATTATATTTGTACAAATATAATTAGAAGTCCGATTACAGATTTTCTCTAAACGGCACTGAATACAGAATATAATTGAAAGCCCGATAGCAGGTTTTCCCTTGGGAACACTAGTATACAACTTGCAAAAGCAATATTTTGCAATTAATTTATCCAACTCCTTTATGCACCCATCAATTAATTACAAACAAAATATATATTAAAATATCTAATGAATTAATTTATTGTTTTTTTATCTCTGGTTCAGTTTTTTCTCTATCAATATCTTTCTTTTCTTTCTTTATATTACTTTTATCAATATCAATTTTTTTCTCAGCCTTTTCTTTCTCAATATCAACAAATGCCACAAAGCTTCTAGTCAATAGATTAAACATGCTTCCAAAAAATAATGCAATAACCGTACATGTTAAAGTAATAACATTATATGGCATACTAAAATCTGGTGTTGGTAAGCTAACCAATAATGTTTCTGTATAAATACGAATTGGAAAATATATATACTCAGCTAGTGATTTTTTTGTTGTAAGTAATATGTTTGTTGAATTACTATTATTCATAATTTCTGTATCAAAGCTATATTTACAAAACAATTAATTCTTGCTAATAAGAGCTTGATAATTGATTATAAAAAGCATTATTATGAAATAAAAATAAAAATATACAAAACATACCTCAAAAAATTATCATCAATTACTCTAGTAGAAATAATTCCACTTCCAATATCAAATCCCCTATTAGCATCAGGTGGATGTTCAGTATATTTTAAAAATACTTTATCAAAATTTATTGATAGTGTTGTTAACGAGTTTGGTGGTAATAACATCTCAACTTCAATAACATTGGGTCGGGATCTGTCCACTGCTGGCTGGAAATATAAATCTTTAATAGGATGATCTTTATTTTTTTGCAAAAAAAAAGATTAGTTTAAGGTCTGTAAAAGTAAATTTAACATCAAATAACAATAATCAAATACCTGCATCAAATTTTGTATCCTTTCCATTTATCTGGACTTTGAGTGTATGCAAATATAACTTTAAATACCAAGGTATAACATCACAATATATTATAGGTATAGAAGTGTTTGGACTTTTGTTAAATATATTAACTTTTATTCCACCTCTTTCTTGACCGTAGCCTACAAAACATCAATGTACCAAAATATTATGAAACCAAATATATAATTAAATCTATAATGAAAACGTGAATCATTTATATTGACCTGTAAAAAATCGATGTGCAAAAAGCCGTGGCTGCACAGAGTAAAGATCTAAAAAAGGTGGACAACTTTTAGGTTGAACTAAATTGATATAATGCAATATTTATCATTATTTAAAAATCATTGTACTATATTCAAATTGATCTTCATTCCAACTCATTGAGAGTTCTGTATTTGGTTTAACTAAAGAAAGATTACAATTGTAAATAAGTATAAACAATTATATTTGAATTTAATAATTATAATAATTACTTTTCTTAAGGTTATATACTGCAATTTTCTTTTCAGCACCGCCATCAATGTTACTCGTATTCCTTTGAATAATAACATTTGCATCTGGAATTATTTTATAATCACCGTGTTCTGGTAATATTACTTCAAGATTACTTTCTTCCGCTAATGGGCATGCCTGCGAAAGTTGACGGCCAAAGACCTTGTTTAATGACCAATCTTGAAACAGAATTTTGGATGTTTTTAATTGTTTTATAATTAATTTTCAACATTAAGGAACTAGGATATATAATTCAACCTCTTTTTCCTGAATTACGAACTGGATCTATAACTGTTGATACGGTTTGAATAATTTCTAATTGTTGGTCTGTACAATCGGGTTTCTATTAATGGATAATAAATAAATAAATTTGTAAAATTAATATATCAACAATAAAAATTTTAATATTATCAAATTTACCTCGCATGACGGCCGAACGTGGATTGACATTGAATGAAAATTCGAATCATATAACTTGTGCCCATTCAAAAGTGATGCTATACCAGACTTTTATAACGAGATATTGGTAAAAGTAAAAAATTAAAGAACTTATACAATTACATAATTAACTTACTGTAGATTTGCATGGAAGAAGTTTAATCCAAGGTGTCAAGTTCTCAGTACAAACATTTTCATGCGGTAGAGAACCATATCTTAACTCGGCCCTTTCAGCTAATTCAGTTGCTACATTAAGATTTACAACAATATCAACAATTAGAATACAGACTCCAATCACAGAATCATAATAAAAAATCATTCACTATTAAATGGTCCTTCTGGCCGAAACGACAATTTAGGCTGAACTGTAATCGTGTCATCAATAAAATTTAAGGAAGCACAAAAGAGACCAGCAAGAGCATTTGTCAATGATTTCCAATTTTTATCCAACCTGTCATTAATAAATAAGAATAGTGAAGAATAAAAAGGATAAATTTAATAATGAAGGTAAAAAATAAATGCTTTACAAAATCAATAATTACCCACGCACTTTCCATCTTTCCACAACCAAGCCCATAATTCAACACCAGTTCCAGCAGATGGCACAAAAGGATATCCCCAATCTTCATAATTCCAGCGACCTTGGGTGAATGTTAAATGTAATTCTCGAACATTATAAGTTTGGAGAATTTGGCCAATTGCACGAGGAAAAAAATTGTAATGACTAACTATATTAATTGATAATGTTACTACTTCTAACAAAAACATTCTAGTTATTACAGATCAAGAAAAATTTATTTACATACAAGCTACACCCTCCTTATACCCATAATGTTTAACATTGAACTGAAAATATGTTAATAGTTTTCCGTCGGATAGCGGCTTTATCGTGAGTGCTTCCTTGAATTTATCAGGTTTTTGGGACTCGGCAATAATTTCATTAATTGTTAGAAACACAAAAGTAAATAGAAATAAAACTCGGAAACAGTTTTTCATAATGTTTAAATATGCTTCTTTTGTATAATGGTATGAAATTGAAAGCTATGAGTACGTACTTTCACGCTCATGTGACCAAATCGACCAATCAAATTGTTATTGAAAGGAGATCTACATCGATTAACCAATCAAATTGTAAATTTTCACCAAGCAGAAACGGTTTTGGCTGATAAAAAAATGGTTGGGAGAGGAATTTACCTAAACTGACTCTGACCCTAACTTTAATTACTTTTCTTCAGATACACTTTGAGGTAAGGAAAGTTGAAAAAATTGTCGGTAATTAATTAGACAAATGCGTATAAACCATTTTCATTATTAAAAAAAATTTTTTTTTCGATAATTCTATTTCTCATACGTATTACATTATTCAGTATTATAAGTCGCAAAATAGTTACCATTTCTTGAATTGTTTATTGGATAGATGTTTGATAAAACCGAATAATCTATTCATAAATAAGTTCGAGTATATTGAAGAAAAAAGCAGTAATTTTAGAAAACATACTTTTATTGGCTATTTAACATTTGCTTATACACCTTTAACACATATTCAATTATATACTATGTAAAATACATAATCGTACCTATCGAGATTGTACGTATTCTTTTTAATAGGCATACAGTTTGATGATAAAAGTGTCACGAGTTTGAGTGTTTTATTAGTAATCTTTCCTCACTCTTGATCCTGATCTTGATCTTATCCGTTTCAAGGCGCACCTGTTCCTGATATTAGTCCCAGTGTTGTACATCCTAAGCTTTTTTGATCATGTCCAATGTTCAAAGGTCCAAGTGTCCAAAGCATGTCCAAGCTCTAATTATTAATAAATTTGTCTATATATTTGTTTTAGGTTCTGAGTATTTTTAACTTAGTAAAATATTAACTTATATATATATATTGGTTCAAAAATGTCAAAAATGTCCAAACTTATGTCCAAAGCTGTCCATTGACAACACTGAATTGATCCCATCGCTCCGCTCGTTTCATTTTGCTCTGATCAATGCTTGTATTTATACTAACCTTTTTATGATTTTTCATCTCCGCTCGATCAATATCGATTTAAATCCAGCAATTTATTATATATATATTCAAGATTTATCTTTTATTATCGTTATCAATTTAACAATCGATCGATGCTACAAATATTTTATGTTTGTTATTATAATTATCATACAGTATATACATAGGACGAATCTAGTTGTAACGGACGTTACACGCCCTATTTATAACATCTTATTTAGTATAGCCAATAAAAACAAATAAAAATTCAGGTAGCCCAAATTCTATTGGCTAACTACAGGGCGTTACATGTAACAGCCGTTACGAATACATTTTTTCATATACATATATATTTATCCAGACATTTTTAAACAACATCAGTAGTGTTCAACACATATTTTTTTATAATGATTTTGTTGTTTTTTTTTCTAAAAAATTTTACTCAAAATATTTCTTACATATTTTAATATTACAAAAATTATATTCATTACACTGAGAGTCGGTGTTTCAAGTTAGGGTAAATATACAGTTTAATAATAGGGTGGTTATATATATTACATGATGTTATAAATATAACATTCCTTTATATTATCTAAAAAGCATAAGAATATTAATATATAACAAATGTATTGCTATTTACGTATCTTTTGTGCCATTGTAATAAACAGTATATTTATATAAATACTTAAAGAATTGAACTTTATTTTTCAATACGTACCAAATTTATAGAGTAAAAATTATTTAGTAAAGATAATTGAATTAACAATGTTTTGAATGTTTACCTTAAAGGGATTAGTTTACCCAATTTCTTCCTAATGCTGGTCAATTTATCACGTGATCATACCTTGTGTTTCAATCTTATTTATTTCAATGAAAACAAGATATTTGAGTTTCAGTCTCACTCATTTTCGACAATGGTGAACAAGGCTATCAAGAATATTGTAGACCAAAATAGAGTCTCTACCTTGTTTCGTGATACCTTTACTGGTAAAATGTCTATGCTGAAGTCTTGAAAATTCAAGAGCATTTTTAATCTAATTTATTTCTCTAGGACCAACTTGTCTGTACCATTGGCTCAATAATAGGAGACCCGTAAGTAGCTAATCTCGTTATGCTTTTATAGTTCCCCTTGGAAATTATTAAATTAAAATTTCGGGCTTTCTTCCAAAAATTCAAATTTTGTCTTGAAGCCTCGATTTCTTAGAAGAAATTTATCATATTTGCAACAAAAGCATAATAAAAAACTGTCAACCAGAAAGTCCAAAAATATTCAAGAGAAAAAGGGTATTACACTTGATGAATTGTTTGAAGGTCGAGAAAAAGAAGAACAATTTCTTTCTACTAGGTGAATATATCATTTATAAACCGTTTTCATTAGTTGAATTTAATTTAACCGGATTTTTATAGCCGAATTAAACGTGCACTTCAACTTACTTTTGAAGGATTAGTCGTTCATAGTAAGTGTAACCTTAATTGAGGTTTTTTTTTTTTGGTGGAGAAAAAACATTAGAATTCTTTTGAATATTCAATAGGTAATCAATAATATCGTAATATTTCTCGTATTAGCCAACCAAGGGTCAGAAGTAGAACCTCATCTTCAATTAGAATGCGAAATTACTCTCTATAAAATTAAAAGGGTAATCAATTAATTCGGGTAAAAAAATTTGACGATCATACTTAATATGAACCCGTTAATTAATAATTTCATAATATTGTGTCAATAAGGACCATTCAAGGAAACGCAGATTAAGCAACGGGAAATGGGAATCGTGTGAATATAGGCAGATCTTCCGCACCTTAATTCAGATGCTTCACGGCGAGGGTGGCTGCTATGTTAAAGATCTTAAGTCGCTTCAACCTTACGTTACTAGCTTTGATGATGCAGGAGAACCCGTTCAGGACTTAGTCCTCAATTTTCGTGTTTATGCCATCAATAACCAGACGTGGCCTCCGAATACAACTTTGTCATCGTCTCAAATTCAAATAAGTAATGAGCACGGGAAGTTAAATATCGCATACAATCTTGGTGACTGTACGCGTCGAACTCTGTGTAATCAATTGGAAGTGATTGAGAATGGAAAGTTTATCAAGGATGGACAATATGATGTGAATCTGAGGCTATTGCGTGAACAAGATTCCATAATACCTTCTGATTGGAAGATACGTTTCACTCTTTATTGGGATTGTAAAGTACATCTTCCATTGAGACCTATAGAGACCAGCCCATTGGCAATCTCTAATATTCAACATGACGAATTACCGGTAACCTATATTTACCGTGTGGCGGATTGCCAGTTGACTCAAGTTGTTAAAGGATTTCGATGTCCATGGTGCTCTCATCTTCGATTTAAAGATAGTGGGAGCATGATGATTCATCTTCGTTGTAATCACATTCACCTAAAATTCGGAACAAAGGTAGATTATTACAACCTAATTTTAATTACTAAAAGGTCTGATATTGATACTAAATAATTTACCGTTAAAGATTGGCAGACAATTACCGAGCGATCGTGTTATAATCGTGAGTTCTAATGAAGATTTTTCAGAATTTGATTATTTCATAATTGATAAGAAGGATGGTAGTTGGACTGTAAGGCCGTTCATATATCCGATTAAAAGACATCAATCTACTTCGCAACTTCCACTTGCGTTATTACCTACCAATAATTTTTATCATTCTCATTCGTTCATGCCATTCAAAGAGGGTGATGTTGACTCCGAGGATGAAATTTGCACACATTGGTTAGAACAGCTCAATGATGAGGTTAGGATAATGTTCAATCAAGATTATCTCTTTTCGACTCGTGACACTAAATTTAAAAATATTCACATTGATGCGTTAGACTTTGGACGAACTTTCTGATGCGAGTGATAAAGAAAAACAAATGATGAAAATCTGGAATAGATATATAGAACCACAAAGGTAATTTGTTATATTGTATGGTTATGCTAGGTCTAACATTTAAGTAAATTTGCTTCTAAATAAGCGTATTTTTAACATAGGGGACTTGCCGATCGTAATCTCCCTGACGTATGTCTTCAATTTGCAAAGACACGCGCCCGTCAAATTGCTGAACTAGAGTTGAGAAATGAATTTGCTTTCCATTTACTCAATATATTAGAATTTAAACTGATTGATAGTGCATGTGTCACTAAATGCTTAGGGTTCGTAGATAAAGTTATTAGCAAGATGTGTTAATATTGTCTATTGTTTTGTTACTGTAAAGCGATTTAAGAGGGCATCACTTAAGCTCATACCACTTGACAATTATTTGTTTTAAAAACTGTACAGAAAAAGCTCTTATTTGAATTGACGCATTATTTGCAGAAATTCTTTTGACAATAAAAATCGACATAGACTTAGTACATTGGATGATAGATTAATTTTCATTCTATTGCAAATGTTTCATTCATTATTAAATATCCTCCATGATTAGGACACTATTAATTTCTCCAAATAAAGTACCCGGTCTTATACAAATCAATTTTAAAAATGAAAGACTCCGAATACTATATGCAATGCTAAATGGTATTTTGTATTAAACCTTTTTTTTCTTTACCCTTAATTTGTGCTTTAAATAATGATTCGTCATTTCGCAAATTCATTTAATTTCGTATATTTGATTTGATAGCGACCAACAAAATTCACAAAAAAACGTATTAATGCATCCAATTACTATCATTATAGTTAATTATGAAAAATCGGTATCAAGTGGTGTGGATATATATTTTTGCTAAAGTAAAATTCAAAATCACCAGAGATCATCACCTGTACAATAAGTTTGCAAAATTAGATATAAATGTGTAGATTACTTGTATAACCTAACACCAATCTTTAACTACTAATTTATTAATTAATTAATTATTAGTAATACGTATATAGCAATTTTCTTTTAAAATATATATTATTGAATATTTTAATTTGTATTAGTGATTATTGATAACCAAAATGGTATATCTCAAAAATTACTAAATAACTAAGTTCAAAAATACAGTACTAAGTAAAAATATCAAAAATCTTATATATATAAACTGAAATTTACCCTTTTAGCACTAGAAATATTTATATTTTTAAAATTTTGTAAATAAAAAATAATATATAACCTCTGACTTTGTATAGCCATAATACAATAAAGTAAATTTTTTTACGGTTAGGATTAGGGCAAGTATTAGTAAAGTTTTTTTTTTTGTGTATTTAGAATTAGAACAGACTATATGTAGTCATGGCTATATATACGCATAATAAAAAAATTTATTGATAATAACTTATTGATATTTCACCAAATTCCGAAAAGGTCCAGTTTTATTGTAAACGTAACTCTGGTTATTAGTAAAATGTCTATACAGTGAATTATACCGACATTTTATATTAAGTTCAATTCGCTACTTCAAGTATAACTAAACCTGAATCACATGAGTGAAAATAAAGTTACGTAAGTGCAATGCGTAAGCCTATTGCATACTGATCAAAATTACTTTTTTGATGCACATATATATGTGTATCACCGTACAGACGTTATTTACCTGATGAAAGCCTTTGAGGTTTAGAAGTTAATTATAAACATGTCGATGTCTTTTAGTGACGAAGATTCGTGGACTCCCTTTGAAAAACTATTGCTTGTACAACTGGCTTATAAATACCAAGACAACTGGCAGTTAGTAGTTCGAAATATTAAGAGTAACGCAATGATCTCTCATCCACCGGAGTTTTTCACTCAAAAGGTTTTTTTTGTTATATGCTGTATTAGATTTAGCACCTTGAACTACTTTAACAACAGTAAGCTTTCATCGTTGCTATTTGTTATTAACACTTGATCACCTTGTTTTCAAATAGAATTGTTCTAGCAAATATAGAGCTCTTATTGAGCCATATGAAAGAGATGAAATTGAAAAGTATGTTTCATAAGGCTGAAATGAGATCTATTTAGACTAGATTACCTAGTATTAGTTCGGAAGACATACCTACCAGTGGTGGGTTATAAAAGGAAATAGTGAATAAAAATAAAACATGATCAGTGTTGTCAACTAGACCAATGTTGGACTTAGTAATTTTATAAGTCTTATATGGTTCAGCCAAGTAACTTATGGCTACTTGACATGGTAGAGGATAATACTGATCATGATCTTTGTTCATCATTAACCAGAATAGATTTTCAATAATATGTCAATAATTATACAATTTTTTATATATTTCAAATTTATTAATGGAAAAAAAAAATAAAACAAAATTTTAGTGAGAATAAAAAGAAGTTAGGAGACATTTCTGCTTCATTAAATGGTTTGATTAAAGTCTTCTTAGATTTTTTTCGTTTTTCAATCGTATATATTAGTGGAGTTTGAAATTCACCATTTTTTGTCGAAAACATATATTATCAGACGAACATCGCATGCCACCAGCTGCGAAATTGGCCCGAAAACTTTACCAAGATCGTATTCTTGAATTAAGATCTCAGGTTTCGTCAACCGAACAAAGACTTCGGTAAACAATCGCGTACATATTGATACAGGCATTCAATTTTTCATAATTTTGCTATGAAATGTTTCCAGTGACACCCTTTTTTTCTCAAATGTGCAAAGGAACATCTTCACCGAAATTGAAGATATTAAGGCCGGAAAATACGATGATAAATTGGCAGAAATGTTGAAAATGGAAGATGAACAAAAACAACAAGACCATTCCAATACAGAACGGTTTTCGGAACGACAAGAGGAGGAAAATCCAGATGCATATGAGATTGTAGAAGAAACGGTACTTGCATCTTCTGCAAATATTCCAGATCATGCAGGTAGATCATCGACTCAACCTATTGTTGTTGATAATGATAATGATGACCCCATGATTATTGAAGTGCAAGATGTATCAGAAGCGAGTCCTAATGAAGAGAAAAAAATAGGAATTTCTTTTACGGACAAGAAGTCAGAATTAAATAATGAAAACGATAAATCGCTAAATATGAATGATAGAGAAGGCACACAGGAATTAGAAGCCACAGAGAAAACAGATTCAATAGTTTTCGATTCTACGGAAGAAAACGAAGTTGATCAAAAATCAAAATTGATACATGCAACAGAATCTTTTACAACGGTTAGAACACCATCAACGCCACTTACGGAATCAAACGAGCCTAAGTACGATGAAAAAATTGAACAATCATCATCAGAAGTACAAATGAATACGGAAATTATGAAAGAGGACATTCTAAATGATTCACAAAAGTCAACAGATCAAGATGTTGACATGATGGATATTGATGTGAAAATAAAAGATAAGACTGAAGAACCAATACTTTCACAACTTCAAGTATCTACAATAGATTTACCTAAGCATGAACAAATAAAGAGACTTACCAAGGAAAATATCTCACCCATAGATTCCGAAGATACACCGCGTGAGGATAGCACTATGGATGTAGATGAGTCAACAACTGAAATGTCAAATTTTCAAGATTTGAAAGAAAATCCACAGCATGTTCGCTTTGGTAATTTTGTATCTTCACCAATACCGATTACCGAAGCGAAAGAAATTGACTGTTTGGAACCAACCGGAACAGATGGGGGAGAATCAGATGAAGCTGTCGGATCGCCTGATGAACAAACATATATTAATGAATCAGATAATGATAAAGCATCTATAACGGAAATTGACAATAGACAAAATCTAACATTGGATACGATCAAAAGTGAGGGATCCTCAGATACTACAGAACCAGCAGGATCATTTTGCGAAGAAGAAGAACATATTGAATTGGAAGCAAGAACTGCCAAAACAGATATATCAGAAATTAAGGATGAAATTATTTATGACGATCACATACAAATGGCAGATTCGCAATCACTTAATGAAGAAAACGAAGAAATGAGGTCAACAACCTCACAAGCTGAATCTAAAGAGCAACTTACACCATCAGCAACAACGTCCACACATCACATGGATACGATTACAAATTCCAGTCCAGGCGATGGTAATTATGACAAAAAAAATTCACATCTTTCCAAGAGAAGACTAATTTTTTTTTTTCGAATAAATAGTTCATGAAAGTGAGACTATTTCAGGAATCGACGCGTCTGGTATATACAATTTTTATGTGTTATGTCCTCCTGAAATAGAAATTATTTAACATTTACCTTAAATTACAGAAAACGACAAAAAGCAAAAGACTTGGTTAAAACTAGCTATGATGATGCTACATGAAATTGGCAATCATAAATTTGCGAGCGTCTTCCAAAACCCAATAAAAGAACAAGATGCACCGGGGTATTATAGTATTGTCAGACAACCTATGGATTTGAAAACTTTAAAGAAACGTTTGCGTGATGGAGTATGTAAATTTCTATTTTTTTTGTTTTTAAATTAAAATTGAATCCATAATGTCGGGGGGGGGTTTTTCTTTCTAAAAAAATAAATAAATAAAATGAAGCTTGTGGAATCAATTTTAATTTAAAGTCAAATTATAAAGTGATACCTTTGAATATCAAGACTCAAAGGAAACAACACCATATCATAGAAAAATTAAATAATTAAATTTTAAATATATATACTTTAGGTTATTCAAGATACCGATCAGTTTCATCGGGATCTTCTGCTAATGTTTATGAATGCGTCCGTATTCAATCGAGAAGGAGATATTAATAAGATGGCATCACAAATGAAAGAACACGCCGAGAATCTAATTCAAGGATTTAGAAGCGAGGGTTCAGTAGGAATACATGAACCTGCAACACGGAGAAAGAGCATGGCCTTTGAAGGTATGTAATCGATTGTTTTTCTTTTTCGATGAATTTAATTTCAAACATCATAAAAGAATCCCCTTTGATAATAGCAAAAGAAGCGATCATACCTCCAAAAGATGATCGACGGAACTCAACGGATAAATCTGGTACGGGTCCTTCACGCCACGGGGTTACATCCCAATCACCAGTTGAGATATCTGAACAACGCCCGAACAAGAGAAAGCGACGTTTAACGACGTCACAAAAATAATTTTGAATATCTTAAATAGTTCTTTTATTTTTGACATTGAATAATCGTACGTACTAATTATAAAAATAAACCATTAATGGTGTCAAATCTGAAATTTATGACCTGAAGTCTTTATATATGTACGTATAAAGAATTCGTGTTATCCAAAACATAAAAAAGTAAAGATCCGAAAGGAAATAACAAAGTTAATCATTATCGTTGTTATTATTATTACCAAGATATAATTGATAATCTTTGATTAAATCGAATATATAAGATCTTTCATATTTTTAATACTGTCGACGGAACTAAAATGTTTTTACTTCCTTGCTGAAGAATTTCCCAAGCAGAATTTCAAATTCCATTCTTTTGTTGGACAATTTTTCTAATTTCAGTGCTGACACTTGTGTCAGCACTTAATTACGTGCATTGTAAATTATATCGATCTTAACGTTAATGTACTGTATTCTTATAATAAGTTAAATCATCTAAATTGCAAATAAAACTTTGCTGAATTGTTATTAAAGTCCAATTTTTTGTCAATTCTCGAATTCTCGACGCATAGAAATATTTTATGTTCATACTAATATACATACTAATTTCACATTAATCCTTGGACAAGCATTCTTCGACTATTTGCGTATTAAAAAAATACCCAACAAAAAAAAAAATTGGTAAGACTAGAAAAACAGTTTTTTTTTTTAAAAAAAAACGTATTACATTCATTGCATTCACACAGACCTAAAGAAAAAATTTCATGTCACTTATATCACTTTTATTAATAATTGTCACCTGTACGATTTTATCACATCAATGACTCATTCTCGTTTTTTGTTTTCTTTGTCAAAGCGTGGGAAGTAACCCCAAAAAAATTTAGATAATCGAGTAACTTCCATATCATAAAAGTGATATGATAGAGTATCTAAAAAAGAAGTCACTATGTACGAAACAATGTACTAAAAAAAGCGAAGGATACAAAAAAGTAGGCGGATGCATGCTTCAGTAACGTCATACGACCCTCTTATGACAAATTTTTTTGATACAATTTCATGTTCTTAACTTGTACTCAATTTACATTTATCCTTTATTGGTCGCTGCGGATCAACAGACTAATTAGTGTCCCCGTGCACATTTTTAAACAAACAAATCTATCATTTGTCACCTTTTTTTTGTCCAATCATCATTTGTTCCAGGGATCTATGATCACATGATTTCACAAAATTAAAGCTCATTGGTCGATAAGTGAAGATAAGGTTAACGTAATATATCTCATAAAAAAAAAAAATTTTTTTTTTTTGTACTTTATAAAAAGGCCTTTTAAAGTATAAAAAATTTCAAGCCGTGTTTTTTTCCAAGAATTATTTTTTGTTGCCAAATTTTTCAAATCATTATTATTTTATCATATAATTTTTTTTTTTTTCCCTTGTAATTTTTATGCTCTTATTTTCCGTTAACATTATTTCCTTCCTCCTTTTACCTCATTTGATCGCTCTTTAGAATCTTGACTTGCACGGAAACTTTTACCTCGCTGCGCTTGGTGAAACCGTTTTAGTACAAAGCAAAAATTTTTTGTGTCATATAAAAACCGAAACTTTTTTTTTTTTTCTTATTAAACCTCCAAAGAGTTTTTTCAATATAAAACTATGAATTCCTTCACCGTCAATACCGAAACAAAACCTACTGAAACTGTTCAATACTTTCCTACCGTGGGTGAACCCGTTATTGGTCACACTGACGGAAGGTTTCCACAACTCTCCTTAGGTTTGAAAGTGCTCTTATTCATAACTTTTAACAAATCATGCAGGTTACTAAAGTTTACCTTCTTATAGATGAACAACCCGGTCAGGCTATTGAAAATTCCCCACGCCTAGCGGTAAAGGAAGAAGAGAATGCACAAAGCGTTTCTTCTGACGACCAAAAAGAGCACAGTCCTACACCCTCAGCTTCTAAAACAACTTACACTTGCCACGTTTGTGGTAAGAGGTATAAGCACAGAAACTGTTTGGTTAAAGTATGTTCTAATTCTAACTATTACTATTTCGAACTATATACAATCATATAGCGCTCCATAAAGTACCCCTATTGAAAAGTACCCCCATACAATAGTACCCGGGTATTATATCAGTCGCATGGTCCTGAAAATCCATATATACCCGGGTACTATACATATACTTTTACGGCATTAAAGTATGAATTTCTTTCTATACGGGATCGATCGATAACACCTACTACCATACATAATACCCCCATAAATAGTACCCATAATATTAAAGGGGGTATTATTCTTGGTTAGCACAAGTTTCCTGGTATACACCCGGGTACTTTTATGGAACGCTATACGGTATTTACAACCCTTTTATTTATACTATATTGTTTAAAAAATGCTAACCTTTTTTTTTTTGTTTTCTCACCTTACAGCACCTATGGGAACATCACGAGAGCTGGGATCTGTGTCTCAAATTCAACTTAACAAAGCATCAGCAAGTTCAAATGATGGAGGTTAGTTTACTTTTTACCGTATTGTCTCGAAATAACGCCCGGGGTGTAGATTAAAACTTTGGCCCGAATTAAATTTAATTTAGGCCGAATTACGATTAATTCGGCCAAATTTTTAACCTACACCCGGTTTTATTTCGAGACAATGCGGTACTTTTTTTTAATTAATATAATGAATGATATTAACACTAATATCTTTTCTTTATAACTTTAGGCTGCGCAAATCCTCGTTGATCTTGCTTGTATAAAACAACATTAATTATCCCCCTTTTCCTTGTACCTTTACCCTTGTATATTTACCCTCCCTTATATAGTGCCTACTAAAAGTCATTGATTTTTATGATAGCAAAAAATAAGTTATTTTTTTTTTTAAAGACTTAATAGGGGCTATTCTTAAATTGTTTTTTAATTTGTATAATGTCAAATATAACCACCCAGAGATTATGTTCTAATAGAAAACTTCATTTAAATTTATACATTATATTGGTGATATCGACCATATAAGGTATATAATATTTTTGTATATTGCCCATTTATAAGATTCAGCAAATTAATCATGTTTTGAATATATAAATAAATTTTTTGATTTATATACTTTATATTTCATTAAAAAAAAAAAAAAAAAGTAGAAATACTATATTAGAATATTTGAGAAAAGTGTTAGAAACCAGATAAATCTTGAGGCTTACTTTGAGTCTGGGATTAATCATTAAGAAATTTTAGTTTATTGTGATTAAAATAAGTAAATAGAAACAGTTTTTTTGATTATAATTTTAACAGTGATATGATTTTAATTAACCAATTGGAAGCATTTTATTTGGAATGATGAGTCTAAATTTAACTTGATTGATCATAATGATGGACGTAGACGTTCAATCAACTTATATAACACGCGCCTTGTATTGCAAAAAAGATAATGTTTTTTTAATGCTAATAAAACAGAGCGCGAGTTAATCATTATGATTATTCGAACAATTCGTCTAGCATTACACCATTAATACGCATATACTTATCCAATTTTCGTTTATTTGTTGTTTCATATATTGATAATCACTACAATGTATATTCTCACTTTAAACCCATTGTTTTATTTTTTTTTCAACTGCCTAGTAAAACATTCATATTTTTAGATAATTTTTTTAATCTAGTCTAGTAAACTCTGACCTAATATTACAGCCTTTTCTTTTTCTTCCGGGAACTGAATATGTATATAATGGCTATGTAAAAATAAATAAGTAATTCTCGTTATTTTCAAGTAAAATTTTTACGAGATGAGAAAATTTTTTCGAGTTTGGGAAAATATTGTCATGTGAGCATAAACAATAACCAAATATGGGTGTAAGTTTGATTGAGGGCATATTAAATTGCCGAACATGTTATAATTCTTATGACTGTAAATTTTAAATTCATTGTGTTAAAAAATTTTAGTCTAACCATAAAAACTAATTTTGGACTTATTTTTTAAAAAAAAAAAACGTACGTACTTTCTTTCTATTGTTCATTTAATGCCAAATAAATAAAATTAAATTAAAGATAAATCTCATGACAAAATAAGAGAATAAGGAATTATAAAAGAGGAATTCTATTAATGAGAAAAAAAGGAGGAAGAAAGTTTGAGATAATTGGTTGGGTTATTGAGTGGATCACGAGTTACGATAGAACTGGTAAGTGTTACAAAGTTGATAAGTAAAACTCCGGTTGTAATATCGATATTGTAGTAAGACTTTCATATTATTGGCTAATTTATATCGATCAAAACATGATCATAGACCAATCAAATCAGTCAAAAAAATCAATATCTGATCTTACCATTTTATTTTATTTCATTATTATTAACGAAGTCCTGATCTTTACTCTTTATTACATTTTAAATATAATTCTATTCTATTCTCGGTTATCGTAGTTTTTTACTAAGATTCGTTATTCTATGTTATTAATGAAATCATTATTAACACATATTTATCAATCATATTTTACGATTACTTATTTAGTAAATTTAGTATTAAGTTTTATAATCATAGCACTTACATTACATATGGCTAATATAGCTATTAAGAGTAACTATTAATAGCAGCAATTAATCAGTTTGAAGTCTTTTTGGTTCTTTTGCATAGTAAAATATTAAAATTCTTTCGAAACTAAATGAAAAAAAGATTATTTTTTTTGGAATTGATAATTTATTGCACGGTGCACCCCATTATAACTATATGGATCTTCAATTTTTGTGTAATAAATTAAAATTATCAAAACAAAAAAAAATAAATTTTTAATTAATATTAGGGTTAGGATAAAACCTGAGATGAAACAAGGGTATAGTTTATACGTACCAAACTTTCATGAACTTTTTTTATTAGAACTTCAAAGATGGTTTCATAGGCAAAATCTTTAATTAACAAAGGGATGCAATATATTGCTTGTATATTTTGCTTCGTAATTTTTTTTTTTTTTTTTTTTTAGTGAAACGTTCGTTATATTCTCAAAAAAGTATATCGATATACTTTAAACTATATAAATCATCATATGAGAGTTCTATTAGTTGTAATACGTACTGTAACGGTAATATGCATTAGTTTAAAAAAAGAACGATAACAATTGATAACGATAATGATAATGAATTGACTTATTACAAATATTGATATCGATATGTCTTGATTTCTTAATTGTCATCACGATTGGTGATATGATTAAAGATCGGCTAAACCCAATTTTTCGACTAGGTAAGTCAAAAATGGTTGAGATTTTTTATATCAGTATCGGATTTACTTTAAATAATTTATACAAACTTATCAGAGTGGTTAGTAGTAAAATTTTAATTGATCGGAGTAAACGTCATCTACAAAAAAAACAAAAACAAAATGTCGTGCTTATAACACTATTGTTATTCTTACACTTTTACTACGATTCAAATATAGAATAAATATATAACTTGATTTGATTTTTTTTTTCTTTAATCGTACGCGAATAATTTAAAATGGTCAAACAACGCACTAACAATGGAACTGCTGTCACGATCACAAAAAGATCTTTAAAACATTCTGGCTCTTCCGCTCAAGCTGGTTCGCATCTATCTATTATCTAAAAAATAAAATTTTTGATGATTTACACTTATGTATATATATTTGGATTATAGGTCCAAGCGTTACAAAGACACGTGGACGAAAGTCGAATGTTGGCGCAGTATCATGCACAAAGAAAACAATTACCAACGGAAAATCTCGCCCAAGAAAGATTGCTAAAAATGATTCATATAGGAAACGCGAAAAACCAGATTCTGATGATGATGAATTTTACCAGAGTGATGATAATCGAGATGATATTGATGTTGACGATAATGTCACTATTTCTAATGACGGGTTGGTTTTTTTGTTTTTTTACAAATTCAAGAATGGATTATATAACTGAAAGGTTTAAGAATTCAATCTAAAAAATTTTATAAAGTTTTGTAATTCAATTGATAACAATCTTTTGGATTTTAAACCTTCAAAGGTATTCTCTTTCAATTTTAACCGTTAATTTATCAATTATTTTGATTAAGGAGTCAGGATATGGAGGATTTGATCGGGCTTCTTCAAAGTATGCGTTTGTTTTTTTTAATGCATAATTTTATTTTCTATCAATATAATATAAAATGCTAAAATCACATGACAAACAACCGTTTACAGCTAGAACTAGCAAAAAATCCAATTCCCGTTTTAACAAATTCGAAAGGGAACAAGAAGCAAGATTACAAGAAGCAATGGAATTAATAAACGGTGAAAGTGGTGTCGTCAATGTTTGGGTTTCCGAAATGTAAGGCCCTTACTGTTATAGGGTCATATGTAATTTTTTATCAAAAATGGTCACCTTTACATTCTTATATTTTTTTTACAGGAAAAATATCGCTTTGTCTGTAATGAAAAAAATGGATGAGAAATTAAATCACGAAAATAATTGTATCAAAAATTTAAAACTTGAATTTGAAAAATATCAGGTATATAAAATTCGTATTTATTGAAAAGATTAATGGACTCACTGTAATTTCAATAAACACTTTAAAAAAAGTCTGTTACAACAGAAACGTTGGATCACCTAGCAAAAATTCACACACATTCTCAAAGATTCCGCCGTGAATTAGATAACGAATTGAAGCGAATTTGTAATAATAATTCTCTTCTATCTCTTTTTTTCTATTTGTATTTATTCGAAATAAATAAATCTTTTCACTCATTTTAGACACTACCGATGAAACAGAGTTAAACGAATCTTTAGAACATTTTATAAAGGATCAAAGACAAGTTCGAAAGTCCTTGGTTAAGTCAAACAAGGTATACAAAATCATCCTCTTTTTTGCATTTTCGGATTATGTTACGGAATTACTATATTTTACTCTTCAAAAAGGAAATTCACGACATGTCCGCTCTCAAAAGAATGTTATCAGAAGTTTAAAAAAAAGATGTTCTTATTGAGTATAACTGAAAATTATTTATTGTACAAATTATAAGCGTCATATGTATAACCTCATTAATTACATAATATGTATATAAAGTAAATCTATTAACGATTCACTATCAACTTATTAAATTACATTTTAAGATCTCCTTATTATTAAATTTATGTTCTATTCCCACTCAACAATTTTTTCTTATCTTCATCATTTAACAATTTGTTCTTATCTTCATCACTTAACCAAATCACATCCTTCAGTCAACTTTCCAAGTAGAAAAGGGTAACATTACTTGATCTATACCTATCTTTTTAATTAGAAATTGAAATATATCTTCTTAATGGGTTACGGTACGATTCGCCGAAAGCTATTTACCCGACATCACAAGGATGACAAATTGCTAATCAAATGCTAATGTAATGTCGAGTAAGTGGAAATAGCTTTCGGGGAATTGAGCAACCTCTTGTACAAGCGACACGAAAAAAATTCAGTGCTGGTGGTGCAAAATTTTTCAAAGTTCATTAATGTTAGGGTTAGCGTTTAGAAAGAGAGAACAGTTATATAGTAAAATCGCACAAGGAAAATTTTTCATAAGTGAACTAAAAGCGGCTTTTTATGCAGTTTTTTGAGAAATAAGCAATTTTTGACAAAACAATCGTTTGTTTTGAACTTTCCTGATCGCGTTACGTTACACCTGATACTTGAAATATGATTTGTAAATCTGCGATCTGCGCACAGAATTTTTTCATCAATGTATTCTCTTGATGAAAGGAAAAGTGTATTTTTAATTTATTAAGACATTTTTTCGTAACAAACGTACGTACATGTATATATTAGCAGTTAGACTTTTAATTAATTTTATGCTATCTACGATCACGCAACCCCGGCGCTACGAATTACCGGGGTACTATCGAACATGTCGAACCTACACTGTGTATTACAGCAAAGAAAATAATAATGAATTCTTATACGAAAGAAAAATTTTTGCAATAGATAGTTAAAATCCATATTAGTGGAAAAAAGAAAAGGTGTTTATTTTCACAATACAATAATAATGTGTTAAATTTTATGTTTTCTGTATAATAGTAACAGATTTTTAGAGATTACATATTCAACCGTTTTGACCCGGTTGAACCGTTTTGATACAGGTGACCCGGTTTGCTATAACCCGGTTATAAGCTCTAGTTCAGGCATCCCACTAAAAAAAAAAAAAAAGAAATTAAATCAATAAACCATTTAATCATAATAACGATTCTCAAAAAGAAAATCAAATATGTATTTGCCTTTTTTGCAATCATTCCTTCAGGAGGTTTCGTTTCCACCTTACTCTTACTAACTTCGCCCCAGTTTGTGCTAAGACAAGTACCACTACTCTCTGTATAACTCTTTAACATAGCTCGTCTGGTATCATCATCTGCATCCTTATAAAGTTGTTGAAACAATGAATTCAGTGCTGCATCACCTTCCGGTTTTTCTTGATCTTTACTAATTTCTTTCTCCAACTTGTCCCAATTTTTCGCGTTACGTGCTGACGAAGGATAAGATAATTTCCCTAATAAAAAAAAACAAGTAATAATAATAAATAAAAATAATAAAAATTTGAAACTTGAAACCTGTTATTTTTTGTTTCGATTTTATAATTACCATCAGATGTTGCAAAAGATCCAGCAAGAGAATCATCTCCCTCAAGAACACCCCACTTAATTCCCGGTTTTTCCTTTTTAAGCTTGATTTCAATTTTGGTGGATAATACTTCCTGTTTACATTCCTTGGGTACTATCTCATGAGCTAGTGGATCAATCTCTAAGGAATAATCAGATCCAGTAGGTAATTTGACTGTAACTGATACCTAAAAAATATATATATATTATATATATTATATATATTATAATAATAATTTAATAATTCGCGTTAAAATTAATATAAATTCATAATTTTATATTTGATTTTTTTTTAAAGGATAAAAATATAAAACCAACCGAACGATCGGCATAATAAACATCAACAGTTTCTTGCTTCACATTCTTAATAAAAATGCTGATAACAACAAAGTTTTCATTCTGATACCACTCGTGTCTATAACAAGATTATTATTACAGATAGTTAAAAAAAGTCTTAATTTACATACAATTACCTTAAATAAAAATCCTTTTTTTTACCGAACGCGACTTTGAGACAGAAAAGACGACGATTGAGACGATGTTTGGGGTGCTGCTGCGTCTTTTGTAGCTGTCGACTCTGTTTGCGCTGATTTTAAAAATTATTAATTAAAATATTAATAAATATAGCATTACAAATTACTTTGAAATCTTCAAATTAATAACAAGAAAATTTTAATACATACTTTTCTCAACCTCTGTCTCAGTACTCATTTTTTTTCCTTTTAATAAAAAGAATGTGATAGAAAAAAGCTACTCTTTTTTGTTTAATCTTTTTGCCTTTTATTATTTGCTCTAATTTTGATTCTAACTATAAAAGGCATGATTTAATTGATCTGGTAACGATTATCGTAACTGCGCACAATTAATAGTAATAGGGGAATTTTTTGGTTATTGGTTAATTTTAAATCAATTATCCTATTAACAATTTGTCTAGAAATTTCTAGAGTTTAAATTATCGATATCCGGAAATCTCTCGACATTTTTTTTTGCCAGGAGCGACCGTCATTGGTACACAAATTGCAAATCGCTTCCGAAATCCTCCAACCCAATCAAAATTGACATCACATGCTGATTAGCCAATCACAGTTGATAAAAAAAATTTTTGTACGTTTTTTATACTTTTTGAAATATACTAAGCAAAATTTAGAGTTTTTACATTATATTTTAATATCAGTTGAATCCCGTTGAGGTTTTAATAATTCGAATTTTGTGATATTTCTGAATTTATTAAAATTTAATTGGATAAATTTCCAAAATATCACAAAATTCGCGTGATAAACCCGAATTATTAAAACCGCCAAATTCCAAACTACTATAGTTTGAGTTTGTCCGCGCCCAAATCCCAAACTCTGGCCAAATTAATATCTTAAAATTTTTATTACTAATCTTCATTTAAATAAACAGTATATATTCTTATGGTTATATTTTTGATTCAATGTTTTTATAAATGCTATTGATTTTTTTAGGGGATTTGTTCAGCATGTATGGTTCCAACTTCTATGCTAAACTACTAGATTGTCAAGTTTCAGTTCGCTGAGCAATAAAAAAATTAAAGGTAATAAATATCTATATAGGTTATAGTATATATGAGTGCGCCCAAGGGAAAACCTGTCATCGGACATTTAATTATATTTCGTGCACAGTTAGCCGTCTATGGAAAATCTATCATGATAGATTTTCTACAGGTGATTAACTATACACGAAATATAATTGAATGTCTGATGACAGGTTTTCCCTTGGGCGTTTATACTAAATGTAATAAAAAGTATATGCCGATATTACAATATGAATGCGGTTAAAAAGATCTTAAATTAATATATGGGGTTGAGTCAATAGAAATCAAGCAAATTTTTTCTAATTAAATTTTTTTGAAACTTTAAACAATGATAACTTAATCAAATTTAATAAAAAAATTTTTAAATGAATTCTACAAAATTTGTAGTATTTATTTTAAAAAAGTTTTATAAAGTTTTAGTTAAGTTATCACTGTTTAAAGTTTCAAAAAAATTTAATTAGAAAAAATTTGCTTGATTTCTATTGACTCACCCCCATATATAAACGTAATAGTTGTTCACTACTTTTTTATGTAATTTATAGATTATGAGAAACGTGCTACTTATATAGTTGAGATATGAGTTGGGTGTATTTTCTAGAATTTAAATATATACGTATATACTAGTAAAATAATAGTCGAATTTTATAATTAATAATTAATAGATACGAAGGTATTTTGTATAATAATTTTTAAAATTCGTAAGTTTGATTGGTTGGGAGGACTTTGGAAGTGATCTGCAATTCGTGTAACGATGACAGTCGCTCCTGCGTATTAAAAAAGTAGTTCTATAAAGCTATTCTATTAAGTATCACCAAATAACCCGAAAACCTAACGCTAAATGTGAAATTATTACGTATTAAATTATGTATGTTAATGTGTGTATTTATCAAATAAAAAAATTGAAATATTGCATACCAGATAAGCCTTTTTTCAAAAGAATATATATGGTTACAATACGTATATATCTTATAATATTTTATGTATTTTACGTTTGTGTCTAAGAATCAATAAGAAATTTTTAACTGAAAATTAAATCTATAAATCACCATTGAAATATCTCACCCAAGAATAAACAAACACCAGAACTTTAAGTTCATCACATGCCTGTTCGTGAAAATTATATTTAATCTCAAAAAAACGAATTAACATTATTGATTGACCTAAAGAGAACCAACCTCCCAAATTGGATTCAATTCTGGTGAAACCAAATTCCATTCATTAATGTGACTTCCAATCTGAATGCCAACAAGCCCAAGTTCGTTAACACATCTTTTAAGTCATAGGTAGAAGTTTGTCTTATTGGCTAATAAATTCAATTTAATTTTATATTATTCATACTGTTTAGAGTACTTTTTAAAAAACAAAACCTAATCATAATGAAATAAAAAAAGCTGTTTGGAAGGCTCATTAGAGCTGTAGGATTCCATAGCCAAAAATAAGATTTAATTCTCGTCCGTTTAAAAAAGTTAGTAATGACTTCTCAAAACCTGATAAAATCAACTTATCAATAAGCTAATTTTTTTAAACGATCGAGAATTAGATCTTATTTTTGACTATGGAGCCCTACAGCTATACTTGCCGCCCAAATCCCAAACTATTATAGTTTTGGTTTGTCCGCGCCCAAATTCCAAACTCAAGCCCAAATTAATATCTCAAAAATTTTATTAATAATCTTTATTTAAACAAATAATCTATATTCTTATAACTATATATAATATGTTTACAAAATATCAAAATTATTTTGTTGATTTATTTAATTTTTTATAAATGCAATTTGTTTTTTGGGGGTTTGGGATTTGTTCAGGTTTTGCCAGCAAGTATACCTATAGCTCTGATAAAATCTTTTATACAGATTTTTTTATTTCATTATGAAAAAGTACTCTAAATTGTATAAATAATGTAAAATTGAATTTATTAGCCAATCAGACCTATGATCTTCTAAGTTCTTGTAGAACCAATTCAGGGGATTGCATCGGAAGTGTACCAAACCCAACAAAACGCTTTGGATCTTCGGCACATACTTGAGCAATATAATCATTTAAATAGTGTGCCGAACCAAGAGTGTGTTGAGGTTTTGCGGAATACGAAAACATCACAGGGACTATAAAAAAAACCTTGAATATTCAAATAATATGTAAATAAGTATTGCAAAAATATGCAAAAGATACAAAATTTTATGAATATACCTGTACATCAACACCCGTACTATCACATTCTTGTACTCTTTCATCCGCAAACCAACAATTGCATTGAATTTCGCGAAAAAATTTCCCATTAATAATCATTCTCATTTTACCCTGAAAAAGATATTTTACAAACTCTTAAAAGATTTACCGATCATTCATTATATTCATATTTTTTTTAAAGTCAAGCTATGTTTTGGATGTCTTTTTTAAAAAGGTAAAAAAAAACAATAATCTCAAAAGGACAATTATCTTAAAGAATAAATAAAATTTTCCATTATCATTACATATGGGCTAGGTGCTACAGAAAAGAGGGAAATTGCCAAATTTTTTAAAATTGATTTTTTTTTTTTTTTTACATAGAATACAATCAGTGCTTAAGACATAAAAGTAGTTGTATTAATAAAATTTTGCTTCAAAATTTACAATTTCTTACAGCTTATTATAAAATTTATAACATATATATACGTATAATATATACGTATATTAAAAATTTTACCTACATGGAAATATACATGTTTCTGCATATTATCGATATCATATTTTATAATTCTACGTACAATGATTGATGTAATTATGCATATGTGTACAAGAATTATGATATTGAAATACATAATACGTAGAATTAGATTTTCATTGTACCATGCATTTTAGTAAAAGCGCATGACCTCCAAGTATAAAGTTTAAGTTTAGTTTCTCAAAAGTTGGCCTGTGTTTTCTTAAATGCTTTTACTTCAAGTATGCAGTAACTTTATTATTTTTTTTATAAAATTAGTAATATGGCTCCATCGAAATGTGCTTTCTTAGAGTCGATTGTATATTGTCACTATTGTCATACAATGATTTATTATGCATATAGTATTATCACAATAGCAACGTTGTAAGGTTTTGCATCTACGATTTTTAATGGATATATCGATACTGAATATCGCCAAGGTAAAACCTGTAATCAGATATAAATCTGATTATAGTTTTCCTTTGGTGACATCTATATAAATTGGTTTTTTTTAATATATATTATATAATATCCTAATTTTAGTATAATTAATTATATACGTATATAAAATATATATATAGTCGGTGAACTAATGGTTCTAGAAAAAAAAATAGACTACTATGAAATTTGCAATTTTAAGAATAATCCTTTTTGATTACCACGTGTTTCCATCGTCGCCTTTAGAACAGTCGTAAATTCACCAAGAACCAGGTTCTGGTTTGCAATTTCAGACAAGTTGGTATAAATATGTATATGCTTCTTAAAAACGTAATGCTTTATTATAAAAAAATCGTTAGAACTGAATAAAGAATTTGTTTTAAAAAATAATTATATATACGTATCATATATACGTACGTACAGTCGGCTCCAAAAGTTTATCACTGTTACACAGAAACAACTATAAATGTAACTCTCGATATAGGAAACCTTCGATATAAAAAGCTCTTGGCATAAGAAAGTTTTTACCAATTTCAGTCAAAAATTTATGTTTTAATATAAGAATGTTTGATATAAGTAGGATTTTAGCTGGACTCGGTGACTTTTTCATATCAAGAGTCAGTTGTATTTATTAATATTTTGCATATTATTTTTGTGTAACCGTGATAAACTTTTGGAGCCGACTGTACATACGTCGTACAATCATCCTTCCAAATAGTTACCTGCCTTCTTATAAGCTCCATTTTTGAAAAGATTATTGGCAATATATAATGTATGTTATAAATAGAAATGGAATTTAGAATGTTTTAAGAAATTATAAACATTGGGAAGTTGAACTAATTAAGTACTTATATTTAGTATTAAATGTTTTTCTTTAAGCAATCTTGTTTTTATTCATTTGGATAAATAAATACATTAAACAAAGTTGATTGAGCAAAACTCTATTGTTCAAGTTAATAAAATTTATTTAATTATAAATAGTTCAAATACAATTTGCTAAGTAAACTATTTATTTAGATTATTGAACCTTCAACTTATTAAAACTGTTTTAAAACTTACAACAAATAGTTACTAGTCTTGTTTTACAATAGAGTATCATTAACTTAATAACACTTTATAAAAAAAATAAACAATTAAAAAATAGAAATAGTAAAAATAAGATTTATAAAAAAAAAATAAAATAAAAAATAGATATGAATATATAAAAAAGTTAAATTTTTAGAACATAAAAATAGAATTAATTAATTAAAATATTTGTAATTTTGGTTATACTAGTATAACTAAAAGTTTAGAATAGTTATAGCATTATATAAAAGATCCAAATTTAGTATTAAAATTGGTTTTTTTTTGGGTATTAAAATAACCTTTTTGGTCTTTTGACTTTATTAATATTTTTGTTAAATACATGTTTATATAAATATATGTTTATATTAAATAATTACAAATAAGCATACAACTAATTACATATGTAACTTTTTTATATTACTTATTTAAAAAATTTACTTAAAGGTCTTTTATCAGTTGTTATATCTAACATTCTTGTTTGAGTGTTTTATTTAAATCTTCTAATTTGCAATTTTTGTATCAACTTCATCAGATCATCCAAGATTTGAATTCTTATTTTAACCTTAAAACTATGATTTATAGAACTATTTTTATTCTTAAAATAAACTTTCTAGAGCTTTTCATATTTTCATTTATAGCTAATTTGGTTTTTGTTATAGTGAAATCAATACTTACAGTCAAAATTATTTATTAAATCATTTTTATTTTTATAAAATTTATCCAAATTCTAATATTCATTTTTCTAATATCATATTTATTTTTTTTTACTAATAACTACTCAAAACTAATAAAATTTTTTAGACTACTAATCCAGATAGCCTAGTATAATATATTTATATATTCTTTTTCTTTTAATGATTTTAGCAACCTGGTTAGTACATATGCTTTTCTTATATATTTGTTATTCAATTTATTTGCCAATTTTTTTAAGTGTTTTATAAATTTCTATTGGTCTAACAGCATTATCAAAAGTTTGTAATAGCTTTTTATTTAGAATTTCTAAATAGCTTTTTATCTTTTTGGTTTTTTAATTTTTTATAATTAATAGTTTTATTATAGATTTGTACTAAAACCTTATATAATATTAGTTTTTTTATATTTTTCTATATAATGTAATATTACATTTCATATAGATGTCTTAAATTTTTAATGTTATATAAAACCTGACTTGATGTATCTAATATTACAGATATCTAAATCTAACTAATTAATAAAAAACAGTTATTATAATACAAATATAATTTTTAAAATTTATTATCTATATATATTGAACCTTAAATCTGTTACTTAAAAATTAACAACTTATTCATTTTACTAAATTACTATATTCTAATATTAAAATTAATATAAACTTTTAATTAGATTATTAGATATAAAAATTTAAAAACCAAAATTAAATAAAAGTTTGTTTACAAATTTTAAGTAAAAAATTTGTATAAATTTTTAATAATATTATTATTTTTTAAATTATATTACAAACAAATATGTTTGAAAAATTAAATTATATTTAGTATTTTTTTTAATTTTTGACAGTCTTGTTAATCATTTTTATTAAGATTCTTATATATATGTTTGTACAAAGTTGACTTAAATTTTAGCTTAATATCTTTTTCCTACTTAAATAAATATCTAAAAGTAGTTTACCATACTGATCAAAAATTAATTTGACTAGAAAACTATATCAAGCTAGCCATTAGGACTATAAAAAAATAACTTAATTTATTTTTTATAAAACTAATAACTAAACCTAATTATGAACTTTGTATTTTTTTTATCCATCTTTTTTTTTTTTATAGTCTAACTTTAATCTTTTGTTTTATTTTTTTTATATACTTCATATATCAATCTGCTGACTGTGTTATTTTTTGATATATTTTTCTATTGTTTCTTATTTGTAAAACTAATTCTATTTGTTTTTTTTAATTAATTACTATTTTATAATGTTTTTTTATATATTTTTAAAAAAGCTATTATATGCTGCATTTGTTTATATAATTAGAAATTTTTTAACTTTTTTAAAAGTTTGAATAAGGCTTTGTAATATTGTTTTAATCTTTTCTTTTATTAACATCTTAATACTTTTAAATTTATATTTCATTTTTTTTTTTATTAAATTTCTTTATAAAATTTTTATTAGTTTTAATTTGCTTGTCTTCTTATAGGTTTTTTTTAAAAGATCAAATTGATAGCTAAATTTTTTGTAATAACTTATTCTTTTTTATAATCTTTGTACAAAACTAAATATTTTTAGTTTTTTTTCTTAATTTAATTATATAAAATGCAATATGGTCTTTTGTATATGTTTGGATATCTTTTTGCTAAGTCTTTAGTACTAGTAGTTTTTTATTAATTTATTTAATTAGTGTTATGATTTTTCTATTTTTTTTATACTTATATATCTGATTTTACTTTGATTTCTTATTTTTCTTCATATTATAAATCAATAATACTCTTCTTTATTCTTAATTTTTAAAAAACTGATATAAATCTTTATTCTAAACCAACTTTAAAATTTAAGATATCTTTAATAAAATGTCTTGTTGGCCTTTTAATAAATATTTTTTTTAGCAAAATAATACATTTGAACTTGGTAATAGCATGTTTATAGTTCTATTTATATTATCTATACTACTTTTCTTTTTTGTTAATTTATCTACTCTAATATTTTATTTATTATTATTATCTTTTTATTTTAACTAATTCTAATTTTTTTTTAATTCAAATAATTCTATTATACTTCTTTTCAAATTATAATCTTTTCTTTAATCTATTGTCTGTTTTTTTTTAGTTTTTTCTCTCTATTAAGACCTAATATTGCTGCTATACTATTTGTATAAATCTTAATCTTTTTTTTAATATTATTAAAATTATTAGCCAAATAGTTAATAATTCTGATTTTGTTAATAGACCTAATTTCAAGGACCTATAGCATCTTTATCTACTATTCTTTTTTCTTCTGTGTTTATTTATACTCAGCCATCTTTTATATAATTAATATCTAAAGCATTTCTTATATTGACTTTTTAAATAAATCATTTATATAAAAGATAAGTTTTTTATATAAATTCAATTAGTTTTTCTGATTCTTAAAAATAAAAAGTTCTTTTAACTTTTT